GCCGCGTGTCAGCCTGTCCTCCTCGAGCAGCTTCGGCCTTCGTTTTGACCCACAGAGACACCGGCTCTGCCATGTGCTCTGTGATTTGACCACCCAGCGCTCGCAGCCAGAGCACTACCCAGTCCAAAGCACGGTCCAAATGGCCGCCTCTCCTGGAACTCTGGACAGCCAGTAGGAAGGCCCGATTCAGCTGCACAGGGGTACGGAGTTGGGAGTTAGAACTGCACCCCATCTTACTTTAATTCTGACCAACTGTAAAACACTGATTCTCACATGATGCCCATGTCTGGGGTCACCACAAGACAGACAACACCGAAAATAAAAATAAACATCCACCACCAAGTACCATTCAACAGCCCCTGCATCAGAACACAAGGGTACATGCAAGTTTGGTTACGCAGTGGATAAAAGCTCACCTTATCCACAGGCATCACAGAGAGATTTTTTCTGACCAGCTCATGGCAGAGAATCTCCACTATGGAGAAGCCCTGGTCATAGTGTTTGCGGTTGTACAGTGCATAAACCAAGCTGTTGATAGCAGATGCTGTTGGAATAATGAAGGGGCAGGTTTTAAGCGTTACTGTCGCTTAATCTTATGAGGTTTAATGTCAGGAAGAAACTGGATATGGTACAACATACAGGGGGGAAAAAGTAGCATAAATATGCATTACCAGCCTTGATGAAGACATTGTCCAAAGCAAGCTTCTGTGACTCCCTCATCATCTGCCCAGCTGTGGACTTGCAGTACAGCAGGACCCTTTCCAGAGTCTGATTGTCCTCCAGCTGAAAGAGAAAAAAAAAAAAAAAAAAAAAGAATATAAGGCGGAGACAACAGTGGGAAAGGCTAAGAAAGACAGGAGTAACGTAAAAAGCACATAATTTAGAGCCACACACCAAGGCGAAGTAGCTACAGTCAGGGAATAGAATTAAAAAAAAAAAAAAAAAAAAAAAGAATATAGTAGTCAGTAAGACACTGTACCCTACCAGCAGTAAGAAACAGGACAGAATCCCCAGGAAAAATTAAGACCTATACCTGCGAGGCCACTAGGCTGCTGTAGGCACTCATAAGGCCTTGGCACATGGTGCTGCATAAAGTTTGATGGAAGAGGAGCTTCTGCTCTGGCTGTATAGTCTTAGCCTGAGAAAAAGACATGACCAATTAATTGGTATAGTGGTGGTACGTTACCTAACAGCATCCAGAGGCCAGACGTTCAAATAACAAGCAGCGTATACTACAAATACTCTAATGTTACAAGTTTTTACAACCATCATGAAAAATTTTGACTGGACCAATACCTTGGAAAGGTGCTTGTGCAGGAGCTCCTGGTATTCCTCAAAGAAGGAGAACAAAGCCAGGAGAGATGTCCCTCGCAGCACCTTGTCCTGGTTTATTTCAAAGGCCAAGGCAACCAACTGGCTGGCTTTCAAGAAGACATGGCGTTCCTGGTCACTGAAAGAATCAGGAAGGCATCGGATGGCACGAGCACACTCGGTGAGGGTTGCAGCACAGTCTTCACCAGACGCAAGCAGGCGGTGAACATCCACAGCCCACCCAGCAAAGTGCCGAAAGGGGTCAGGGGTCTCCTTCAGCCACACGGCAGATCCCTTGACGAGTTCTGAAGCCTGGCTCCAGAGGCTTGCCTTGCAGAGGAGCCTGCAGACATGCAACATGACCAGTGGAAGCCAGCCACAGAGACCAGGGCCAGTGGCACCTGCTCCCAGTAAGTCACAAAAGAAGCTCTGGCTCTCCCGAACCAAGAAGGAAGCATCGTCCTCAGTCAGCGTGCCACAGGTCTTCCCAAACTCGCCAAGAGCATCCTCGGCATACCCGGGGACTTTTGAGTTTATGGGTGATGCGGCAGATACTTTGTCCAGCAATGCCAAGAAGCGCAGAGCTTGCAGGCGTCTGCCGAGTCTTCCCCGGGGGAACTGAGGCAGATCAGCCTGTATTCCGGCGGCCCCATTCCAGAGCACAGCAAAACAGCTGCGCAATAGAACCTGATAGTCTTCAGTCTAGGAACATTTAGAGAAAGGAGGGGGAAAATGGTTTCCTTAGCCAAGAAAAAACCAAGACATTACATGTTAAGATTACAACAGGAGTAATGCTTTTAAAATATGAAAGCTTTTTCTTCACCTGGGTGGCAGGAGTGGCTAGGTCCAGTCTCTTATACAGCAGGTCTCCCAGGCGCTGACAAGGCTGGTATGCTCCCTGAGCGGCCAGCTTCCTCATGATGTGAAAGAGGATTTTTTCCATATAGAGAGGGCTACTCTGCATGCCAGGATTGCCTGTGCTGTCATATCTGATGAGTGCCAGCTGAACCAGTGACACCAGCTCAGCAACATGGCCAGTTCCCACAGCTCCATTTCCTAGCTGGTGGTTGCAGGCCCTGATGATTCGATCACACAATATCCTGCACTCCACCCCAGGGCCCTTCTTCATGTAGTCCTAAAGGAAAGGCAAAAGTGTCACAGCCACTGAGAAGTTTATATTCTTGTTCACACCACACTACTGCAATGAAAAAGGACACATGTACCACTGTCACACCGGGACGGGGGTCAAGACTAATTCCTCCGCAAGTTGTCCCAGGCATACATACCTCAAGCTCCTGACAGAGCGCAGCAGTACTTGCGGGGTCGGCCGTGCACTTGATGTACTCGTCCACTTTCTGTAACTTCATTTTCTAATTCACAGGGAACGCGACGGACGAGTGTTAAGCCGTTTAGAACAAATCCAATCTGCGTCTCAGGTTAGGTACTCCACACTGATATTTCTATAAAAACATTTCATAGACGGCGTCGTAACACGACTTCACCGCCGAAAACATTATTACGGAAGCTTCTAATCTACCAACATCACCGTACAAATTGACCACTTATTACACAAAAGCTCACGAGGTAAAAATCGGAATTAAGAGGCACTTATTTAAATAAATAAATAAAAAACCATGAACCACTACCTAAGTGGTGTAAACAATCCAATATACTTAGCCGGTAATGTCAACCATCCAAGGCCGCTCACTTGGTTTAAAATTGAGATCTAACCAATCACAACATGTGTATCTGTGACGTCAGACATGCGACGCGGCCTGGTCGTGAATTTGTGGTTCTTGTAGTTTCTTTATTATGACACGGTCATCCATGGGCGCCGATCTCGAGTTTTTTACCCACGATACCAATCTTCCTTTTTATAAAAAAAAGTCAAGCCCCGGGTAAACTTGACAGCCCCTGATTTTTTGCAATAGCCAGAAGCGCTCCGGGTGAAAGCCAACCTTTTAACGTTAATAATGAGATTAATGTGCAAACATTTAAAATAAATAGCATTTATACTCTCACAAAAAGGGATATGATTGTGTGATGAGCAATCGCCAATCGTACGCCACTTGGCCCTGACATTTAATCGATCCATTTTTCATTGCCTCTCACCTAACAGGGAACGTTCCTAGAACATTTGCCTTTTATATTTATAGGGTCATCTCAAGTTGGCTTAGAACGTTCTAGTAACTATAACGTTAATGAAACAGTACTTTTACGTTTTTACGGTGTGATTTTTCACTTCTGTTTTACAACATATAAACAAATGTCACCACAAGAATGGATTTTACGGAAGTTCAGAGAGAACACCCATCGTCGTATATTGTTTCTTTCTTCCCGTTATCTCGAGATCACCCCCTTGATCTTGCGACTGGTTTAATAGCTTAGCTGTTTATACATCGTCATGGACCAACGCATTACGTTTCACTTTGGTCATGGACTGTCACAAGCAGAAACAGCGGTATATGTCTGTCAGTACTATAGACAATTATTATATTAGTGTTCGTTACTTGACAAATAGGACAACTATTTACCACTTTGAATTTCTGAATAAAAGGGAACATTAGAATGAGGTAACAGCGAGCTGTTAAAGAATTCTAACTTTTTATGAGGACATAATTACAGACTGTTCGGTAACCTTATGTTTACTATATTCACTAGCTCTCTATTAGAGAGTTAACGTAAGTAATGGACAGTATTACTGATGGTTAACAAGTTAGTCTCATATTCGATATTCAGTTTTCCGGCTTTATAATAACTTTTAACGGAAGTATGGTAGGACATTTTAAATGACAGAGTTGTGATGTCCAGTACACAAACAACGATGCTCGCCGATTTTAATTTTTATTTTTTTTTTGCTGTTCGAGCCATTTCACAATTTGTGCAAAATCTCGTTAACAGCATAGAATGTAATGATGTATTGGTTTAACATTTTGGGTTCATGGCAACTGTTGCATACGCCTTGGTTTTCCAGATTGCTTTACAGGCGAATTTTAATTAATTTTTCAATGTTCGCAGGTATCCATATAATGTCCAATGGTACAATACATACATGGGTTTGTAACTCTAAAACAAGACAAGACAGACACATCTAATGAAGTGTGCTTGTATCAGTGGACTCCAGGGAACAATGCATACCATTTGGATTTTCAGGTTATTTTTTGTCTGTACTAGTTATTGATTATTATATTGTATGCATTTGATGTGCAATGGGGCAATATACTAATGGGTTAATAGATCTAAAACTAAACAAGATAGGCACACCTAGTAAAGTGTGCATTGAACAGTGGACTCTAAGGAACAACACACGCCCCCTGGATTTTCAGGTTATTTTTGTCTGTAATAGTTATTATAATATTATATCCATATTATATGCCATTGGGGCAATACCTGAATAGGTTAATAGCTCTAAAACCAAATGAGATAGGCATGTCCTGTGAAGTGTGCTTTGATGAGCGGACTCTAGGGAACAATGCACACCCCTTGGTTTTCCAGGGTATCTTTCTGTATAACAGTTATTAATTATTAAATTGTATTATTATTATTATATCAATATCAGGCCATAACAACAACAACAAAAAATGTGGTCCTTAGCAGGTTCTAAGATTAATTAAATCTAACCTCAAAAAACAACACACAGCAGATTCACCATGTCATTATTTATTTAAATGGTGAAGCCATGTGTGAAAAACTAAGTACAATTTTAGCAGCAATAAGTTGAAGTAATCATTTTCTTTATGACGATCAGTCTCTCACATCATTGTAGAGGAATTTTGGCCAACGCTTATTTACATGGTTGCTTCAGTTCATTGTGGTTTGTGGACATTCACTTATGCACAGCTCCCTTAAGGTCCCACCACAACATTTCCATCAGGTTGTGGTCTAGATTTACAGTCCAGGGCCATTGAAATGCCTTGATTCATTTCTTTCTCAGCTATTCTCTTGTAGGTTTAGTAGTGTTTGGGATCATTGTCCTGTTGTATGACCGAATTTTGGCCAAACTTTAGCTGTCGGACAGTTGGCCTCAAATTTGACTTACAATACTTTGGTATATATTTATATTTCATGGTTGACTCAATGACTGCAAGGTGCCCAGGTCCTGTGGTTGCAAAACAATCCCAAATCATCACCCCTCCACCACCATGTTTGACAGTTGTTATGAGGTGTTTGTGCTCTGCTTGGTTTTCGGCAAACACAGAGACTTTCTCCTGTCATCCCTTCTGAACAAGCCATACTTTATGCCAGGAGAAAGCCTTTCAGGTTTCTTGCAATTTCTCTGAGCATTGCATGATCTGACCTTGGGGTGAATTTGCTGGGATGTTCACTCCTGGGAAGATTGGCAACTGTCTTGAAAGTTATCCATTTGTGAATAATCTTTCTCATTGTGGAATGATGGACTTTAAAATGTTTGGAATTTGCCTTATAACCCTTCCCAGTTTGATGGGCAGCAACATTTGCTTCTTTAAGATTGTTGCTGATGTCTTTGCTCCGTGGTAGTGTTAACACAAACTGGAATACTCCAGACCAGCTGGAGCTGACCATAAACATTCTCGAGTCTTGAGTTGTTCATCTAAGGTAGTATTTACCTAATTTCAAGACCTTTTAATTACCAGATGATTTTTTTGTCCTTATACATAAAACCTTTGATAGATTGATAGAGACTGTATGTAGTTTCTTTTTCAAATGACTGTATGTAAAATACAAAAAATATATAATGGAACATTTATGTCTTGTTACCGAGACTCACCCAAATGAATTTTCATGTCAAAGTTGTTGATACATTCTTTCCAGGGCATATGTGAATCTGACCTGAAATGATTCACAAAATGACAGCATACTGTAGTTTTCTTTGTGAATATAACATTAAGTGGTATAATGTGTCAGATTTTTACAGTGCTCTGTGTTTAACTATATGGTAAAACTGCTCCTGCAGTATTTCTAAGAGGATGGTTGTGTCATTAGTTGTCATTCATTAATAGTCAGACATTGACATGCCTAACAAGCCACATTTTCAAACATAATGCTATTATGTGCAAACCCAGTGAAATGGTGCTGACAGCTTTTTCCAGTGGGTTTTGTTGATAGTGGAGAGAAAAATAATGTACTGCAGCTTTCACATCCATGCCATCCTTCCATCTTACGCCACTTGTTCTGGTTGGGTTTAAGATCAGGAAGCACAGGATACAGGGGAAGAACACCCTGGATGGAATGCCAGCTAATTGCAGGAGAAGTATGTGCACTATGAGCAATTTAGAGATGCCAGCTGGGATAACTGTGTGTCTTTGGACTGCAGGAAGAAACTGGAGAACCTGGAGAAAACACACACAACAGGGGAAGAACACCCAAAAGGTACCCCACGGGGATTCAAACCCTCTACTCACACACGGGGGATTCAAACCCTCTACTCAAAAGATTTGAGGCTAATAGGCCCCATATACTTTTCATATATTAAATGTAAATAAATAAATTTCCTCAAAATCCATTAAAAGATATTGAATTCCTGAAGGGACCTGTGCAAAGAAATAAAATGGTCTTACGTTAGAGAGAGTTTTGCGTACGAACGTGAAAGTCAGAGCATTTCATTTTTTTGTACAAGTCCTTTCAGGGGCTTTGTAAAAAGGTACATAAATTTGTTATAGGAAAATCAGCTCCCAACAAACAAAACGACAATCATTTACAGCAATTCAAATGCAGGGCAATTCAAGAAACAGATCTCAAATGCTGTTATCCAAACATGTACCTTCTGATAACCAGTGATTACAACATTAATAAATTAATACATTAAACTATAAAAAAGTACATAGATGAACCACATGCTAAAGTATTATCAAGTAAATTACACCATCTTTTTGTATGTATTTTACATGTAATTTATTTCTTTATTTACTTTTATGATGGGGGCTACTGTGCTGGAAGGTTTTTTTAACAATAACAATTTCCCCCAAGAATTAATAAAATTCTTATCTTATTTTTGAATGTATTAACGTCACAGTTAGGAAGAAATTCAGATCTTGACTGAAACAGTAATCTTGATGAGTCAGAAACAGTGGATTTTTAGTTCACTGACATTATATGCAGTAACATAATTGTGGTACTTCTAGGGCTGTGCAGCCTGAATTTAGGACAGCAGTAAACATTTACAGAACAGGACAATGAGAAAGCATAGAAGTGAATGTCCTCTTCTTTCTGTCAGCGCTGGGTCAATCTTCCACATGCATTGGGTTCATGGTTATAGTGGTGGCACCCTGGAAAAGTGGGTTCTGTGACTGCAGGGGAGAACAGACTGTTAGGCGCGACAGAAAACCTGCACAAGTATACAGTATTTGGACACTGTCTGCAATAAACAAATTCCCCTCATGGCTAATCTGAAATAATAAGTCTATATGCACACTGGCAGTTTAGCTCAATAGCTGAGGATTATTTTAAAGTCCTTCGGGTTGCTTGTTAAAAAATCTAAGATAATACAAAAAGTAGTTTGCAAATGATGTAGTTACACATTATGTAAGGCTATGCAGGCCATTGGATTTGATAGTAAGCAGCCCAGCAGTTAGGCACATAACACTTATAATCTTCTACCTCATTCAGGTCCTTATGGGAAATTTGCTTTTATCCTTTTAAGCAAGTATTTGAACCTGAGATGCTGTTGTAAAAATTTCCAGCTCGCAAAAAAGAGGGAAAATTACGCATGAACTTAAATATGAGCATCAAAGTAACTAGGCTAGACTACAGGGCAATAACATGGACTAAACATTTTCATGTAGCTTAGTTTCATCCTGAAGGGTGACACTTACACTTTTCCACTCCACTTTCTTCTGCTCGAGTTCGAATTTGCGATATTCCCTCCGGTCGTATACCTCCAGCAGCACACGGTAAACGATAATGATCAAAATGCCGATGAGAATCACCGCGGACACAGCAGTACCAACGGCCACGCGCGTCTTGTCAATGGTACCTGTAGTGTGGGGCGGGGCAATTGAACTGGTAGATATGGTCTAGTGAAGGACTCATACTCAGCACACATAAAAGTCTGGTGACTCACCAGGGGTGTCAGCATAGGCAATTTTGATAGCTCCATTTTCTTTATCCATTTCGACTTCAAAGGTGATTTCCTCAATTTGGCAGTCAAACTGCTGGGCGTCGGGGATGCGGGAAGGCCTGACGGAACCGCAGACTTCAGAGCAGTTTGCCTCCAGACCTTCCTTTCCCTCTTTTAACACTGTGCATTTCACACAGTTCCTTTAGTGTGAGGGAAGAAGTGAAACTTCTGGTCATTCACTAAAATAAAGCAACTGATGAGACACAAGGACAAAGATTAAAGCTAAAACAAATGTGGACTCCTTGCATTACTGTGGGAAGATGGCACAACCCAAGCTCACCCTTCAAATGAGTAAAGTGAGTACACCAGGCTGTGTTCTGAGTAAAGTGAGTACACCAGGCTGTGTTCTGAGTAAAGTGAGTACACCA